AACATCTTTTAAAGTCTACCTTGCTCTGCATGTGTTACATGACTTTGGGCATGAAACATTTTTTGAAACTGGGGGAATTTTTGGGGGACAAGGAATAAAAAGCATTAAAAGGGTAATGAAAGTAATCTATAGGAAATCATATCTGATCATTCACAGTCTAATAGCACAAATTGAAAATGTGCTATTATCATTAATACTGGGGACATGGAAGAGATCCATCTAGTTTCTAAACAAACCAATGCACCTGAAGATTTAGACCATAGAGCAGTCTGTTAGATATGAAGAAAACAACATGCCAGTTACCCAGCTCCTTTGGCTTACCTTTCCAGCTTCCACCCCTTATTATCATATTCATAAGCATTGTCCCTAATCAGTCTTCTGGAGTAAAGTTAACAAGCGTGTGCATGCACTCTCTTGGAATTGTTTTGCTTAGCCTAAGAAGCTGTCATGGGTTGGAGAAGGCTGCTGCTGTAACCAGATTTCATCTCTGGTGTCACTGCTCATGTCAAAGTAAAAATGCGCTCAGATGTAAGAGTTGTCCTGCTTTCATCAAGAGCGCCAGCCTGCCTGAGCCTCGTTCCACTTGGTTAGGCTTGTTATTTAAATTGTTAAAATTGAGACATCGGCAGTAAATTTCAGAGAAGATATAACAATTATTAGATACAAGCTGGGCTCTTGTACTTGAGAATATACCATGCCCTCCATCCTCCAGCAGAATGAGGCACAAATAATTTACAGTGGCTTCTTTAAGAAGTGTGGCCTGTTGTACTTGGATGACATTAAATCACAGTCCGTCCCCACTTGGATCATATTTTCAACTTTCTGATAGATTTGGTTCCAGTCAGCAGAGTGACAGAGCACTCTGGGGAATACCTTTAATGTCTGTAACTCTTGATTCCCAAAGCTGCCTTCTGGGTACGAGCTTTGTGTTTAGGTGACTTTATACACCAGGCAGGGGAGCCACAATCCTGAACAATTGCCCTATGAGGATGAGGAAAAGGAAAAGATGAGATGCTCTCTGCGAGACCTTGGGCCATTTAGAAATTCATTAAAATCCTATGAGAGCAACTGACCTTGAGGCGATTGTGCCCTGTACCCTGATCTAACTGCACTGAGGCAAAGGGTCAAGGAAAGAAATAAGTATGAATGAAGCCTGGAATCTTCAGATGGACCATCAGATGTCTGCTGGCCATCTTGTCCCACCTTTCTCTCAGTGAAGAAACACCAATAAAAACACACTTATTCAGCAGTTGATTCATTAGTCTTTTGGTTCAATGGAAACCCAGCTCTGGCTGCTGTTGTTTAATACAAATGACTCTTAGGTCAAATCTCCCTTAATGTGTACTTGTGAAATTGATGACTTGCACCCACATCTTAGACTTGACATTTAGCTATGCTCAATTCTGTCATATGGTTTTAGTCCACTCTTTCCACGATTGACAAATTTCAAATTCTGATTCTGACTTTTAATGTAAGAGATCTATGTAATCTTTACATTTCTATATCTTTGTCCAAATTATAGAAAAGATCAGAGTTTTAGAGCCAAGAGGAAGCTTAGACACCAGTAATCCAATACTCTCTCTTAAAAAAACCCGTGAGCCAAGAACTAAATAAGAAGCTAAGACTAACTGTCTCAAAATCATGCATCTAGGTAGTTACATTAAACCATGGATACTCTTTGAACGCATGTATGCTGTCTAGTTATTTGAAAATTTACTTGACTATAATGAAAGCACACATTTCCTCACTTTTTCCAAAGGCCACTGTAGGAGGCTTTGTAAACATACCTTTTTTAGAATCAGAAGCTGCTCTTGACTTTTCCCTCTACACATTCATTCACTCCTTATGCATCACTTTATAGCCTCTTGTCTGAACTACTGCTCTTGGCTAATTGATTTGCCCCAGGTTGCCATGGTGATTGTCTTTTAGGGCCATAACCCAAGATAAGTCATGTATGTCCATCTATTACAGGAGACTACTCAGAACCCCAATCTGCACCTCTACAGAAGCCCTTGAAAATACAGGGGTTTATTAGTCAGGACTTTCCAGAAAAACAACCAATTGGTTGTGTGTGTGTGTATAACTCACCCAGTTATGGAGGTTGTTGAGTCCAAAATCTAGGCCACCCCTAGACAGGCTCACGACTCAGGAGAGCTGATGGTGCAGTTCTAGTCTGGGGGCCACCAGGCTATCTCTTATTTAGATGTAAATCTCATCCAAAGACATCTTCCAAATGGATGCATAAAAGTAATACCTTGTGAAACAAAACTTTGGCCATCGAGGTGTGGGAGTCAGTGGATGAGTTATTCTTCCTGACCTTCCCTGCCCCGCTCCCAGCAGAGTGCCTAGAAGGCAGTGTTTCACCCTCCAGACCAACTGCACCACTCAGCCATCAGGGAAGCCCAGCTTGACATCTCACCTTCTTGCTCTCCCTGGGGCCCTTAATTACTCTACTTTCTCTTACTTTTGCTTCTCTGGGATTGTACCCCCTCTATCCCACAAAGTCTCAGCTCATAAGCTTTTGCCTCAGGCTACATTTCTAAGAACCTGGGCTCCTACACCTTTTTTTAAATCAGCTAGCAAACCCCTTCTCAAACCTGATTAAAGCCAGAAGCCCATTGCACAAACATGCCCTTCCCCCCAACTTTGTATCTTGTGCACATTTCAAGAATCTCTTGCTGCAAAGTTTCAGTTAATTTCCTTTGACCAGTTTAAGACCTGTTGTAGATTACGTACCAGGCTTCAATGTCAGAAAAATATTATTACCATTTGTGCATAGAATCTGAACTAATTTTGTCAGTTTATAGCCCAAATCAATCCTGTCTGTCTAGACAAAGCAATTTAACTTCTTGGTAATTTACCAATTACAGAGCACTTATTTATTGGAGATTTCATAAGTGCAGGACATGGTGAAGGGTATGAAGAATAAAAGATGTGATTTCTGCTCTCAAATTGTTTACGGTCTACTGAGCAGTTTTGCTTTCTGTCCTTTCATCATATTGGGAATATAGTTACCAAGTTAGACATTTATACAAGTGGAGTATTTATATAAAAGTCTTCTGACCAAGATGTTTCAAAATTCAAATAATTCTGTTGGAGCCATTGAGAATCTCCATGGTGATGAGCTAGCAGGTGCAAAGCAGGCTTGGAGACTGGAGGGGAAAAGATGCAGTAGCTGGGATCAGTGATAGACCATCAGTGGGTTTAAGTGGCCTTTTGCTCTGGTTGCCTATCGACATTTTGAGGGGACTCGAAGGGAGTAGACCCACAGATAAAACGAAACCAGCGAGAATAATCCATAGCCAATTCTGTCTCTGAAACAAAATACCACATAACTGTTTTTTTAGTGGTAGATTTATAATCTGAATTTAAATTTGTCAATGTTATGATACAGTTGATTCTCTAAAGCACAGGGGGATTTGCAAGATGGAGGAGAAATCTGGTGGCTAAAACTAGACTGTGGATCATTCCAATATCCACTTCCTACCTGGCTGCTGTGGAGGAACAAATAATCCAAGGTTACAGCGTCACTGAGAGTTGGTGAGAAGTCTTTGTCTTCCTACTGCTCCACTTCCATTTTAGATACATATGTTAACCATTTTGTATTTTTTACTGTATTCTTATATCTATCCCCCCAAAAAGATGCAGATAGACTCTCTTGAAATAAGGGATTAAACAAAAACCTTTATGAACAATGTATTTCTTGTATTGTAGAGGTGTTACCTCAATATAACCCTGAACTGTGAAAAATTACTCCAAGACCCTAATATACTCAAAAGCATTCCCTTGTTCTATTATGCCTTTTGACCATTGGTCTTGACCCTTAGTCAGGCAAAACTCCCGCTGATTTTCAATTGATTTGACTTCAGGTCGGCTCCAAGTTGCCCACTTTTTACTCTACATTCTCATGTGATGCAATGTGTCATGATGTGTCAATGATATGTATTGGCAGTCTTAAACCGATGATTAATTGCTGGGAAAGTGATTTTTTTTATAATTATACTCCAGTGGTTTTGGTGGCCTGACATCATAGGGATTCAGGCACACTGGCCCAGAACAGCTCCAAGAAGGTGACTTAATATTCCCATCCCTCCCCAAAATGAACCCAAGTCTTTGAAAATCAGTGTAACAGTTCCCATTTCTTGAGTGCTGACTTGATGCCAGGCACTGTGTAAAACATTCTGCAGCCATTGCCTCATCTCCTGTAATCTAGACAACAGCCCCATGAGGTAGGTGCTGCAGGGAGGTGTTGCATCCCATCTGGAGACCATTGGAGACCATTCCTGGCTCAGCGCCTTTGCACTTTATGTTCCTTCTCTCTGGCTTGCTCCTTTGGCTCATGATGCAACTGGGTTCTTTTCACATTATATGTGTCAGCCGCATGTCACCTCTTTGGGTAGGCCATTCCTGTTCACTCCATGTGAAGCAGGCCTCTTGTCTAACTGGGTAAGCGTCAGATACTCTATCAACTCTCTTTCCTTTATAACAGTTGTCACAGTCTGTACTGACCTTGTTGGGAGAGTGCTGTGTTTCTTTACTGTCTCCACTGTGATGCAAATTCCATGAGGGGAGCAGCTTTGTCTGAATTATTTATCACTCGAGTTCTAGCACTGAGGACAAGGACTGCCGCTTCAGTGATGTTCAGCCAGTATTTGTTGAGTGATCAGAGAGCCATGTTAACAGGAGCCAGACCTGGAGACTTCGGGTGAGATGCCTGTGCCTGGTAGGTGTGGGGGCTGGGCTGGGTCTCCTGGCAGGAGAGAGCATAGGTGTTAAAGAGGGCAGGTGTGGGGCTTGAGAATGAAGATATGCTTCAAGCACTGGCTGCTTTTTCTGTGCTTGCCTGCTGCTTTGTTCTCTTGTTTTAACTCTTGACTCACCCCATACTTCTTAAGCATTTTCTTGCCTTAGAGCAGAGATACTTCTGCCTCCACCATGGGAGATGTTGAAACAGACTTTTGCTGTCTCATGAGTGATGGGTACTGGTATTTGCTCTGCAGGATAACTGTGAACACTGGACAGTCCAGGAAATCCAAGGAGACAGCTAACCAATGGGACTTCAGCAGCTTGAAGACTGGACCGAGGCAGGTATGGACTTGACAGGGATGTCCACCGACCGCCTACCTTGGAAGGTGACATGGCTCATTACCAGCCAGTTTTCCTGGTGAGAAATGACTAGACTATAGTGCACCATTGTGAGCACACTGGCCTGGGATGATTTGCTGGCCTTAACTAAGTATAAAATCAGATATTAGACAAAAATGCCTTTTTACCCCCAGATGGAGGAGCGAGATCAAAAGGGCCACTTATATCCACAGGGTGTGCATGCTCTGCATTTGTACAGGCACACAGAGGGGCACCATTGGCACAAGGAGCTCAAGCACGCACATTGCACACTCATCCCTCAGGTTCAAAGCACATCCTCATGACTTTTCAAAGCGCCTGACATCCTTTCAAGTTAGCTGTTACAAAGGCAAATGCAAACAGAGCACGTTTCGGACGCATTCCGTCAGTCAGCCCTCAATCTGTATGTTCTTCCAGACACTCTTTCTCCTGCCTGATTTATTTCATATTAAAAGGGCTGTCAATCTGTATCACAAGAACAGGTTGGGGAAAAGTGAGTGATGTTTGCCAAGTGAGTTTTTGTTGTTGTTAAAAATAATGGTCTCCCACTCTCTGGCCAGGCTTCTGACTCACCCCACACAGTTCTTCTAGTCCCCATTTGCCTTTCTCTTCAGGTATCTACACATCAGAGGTACAGACCACATGTACCAGATGCATTTACATGAGAAACATGTTATACAAAGGCTGTGGCAGACCCTTTTGTATTATCCATCAAATATATCTCTTTTCACCATCTGATGACTTGGCAATGGGACCATTCTTCTTTCAAATAAAATAAATGTGCCTGCAACGTGACAGAATATTCAGCATTGAAGAGGCTTGGTCCTGGTCAGTATGTGCTGCATTCTGTGGGTTTCATTACAACGGGATGCTAAGGATGCAATCTACAGTTCTTGGTGGGATTGCTTCATGGTGCCAGCTGCATTCTTGTTTTATGTTAGGGTATTGATTATTGCATCTCCTGTCATTTAGGCCAGCTTCCCTTCCTTTTCTCTGCTATTTTGGCCTATAGATAGAATTACTCCACCATTCCATGCGATTCTTTTCTCACTTCTCTAGAAGGAGACTGATTCTTAGAGAATCCATCAAAGCCATCCTCACCTGCCATGTGAAAACTCCCAAATGACAAAGTGACTAGAAGTCAGATGGTGTCCATGCAGAGGCTCTGAGTTAGTGGCTCCATTTTGAGCATGAGCAGGAATTCCTGGGGGTGTTTGCTGAAGAGCAAACACCTCGGTTCCAACTCCAGAAATGCAGATTTGGGATGAGGCCCAGAATCTGCATTTAAAATCAGGGTGGGTTGAGGGTGGGATCAAGTGGGGGGTGATCACATGTGGCAGGGAGCTGGCAGGAGGGCACTAGCCCAATAGGCCCTAGGCATCTGATGGTGATGCAGCTGATCCAGGCCCCATCTCCCCACTCCAGGCTTCCTTCAGGCTCCACCTCTTCAAGCTCTGCTCTCCAATATTTCAGAGAAGAACATAGTCACTTAGGAGAGAGGTCCATATCAGAAACAATATTAATGCACTTCTCTCCTTCCCAAAAGAATTAGGCACGTAGTAGAATCCTGAAGTGAAGGGATAGGAAGGAAAGGAGAGAAAGAAGAAAAATATTCTAGAATAAAAATACATGCAGCCACTCAGTAACAAAGCTGACGCCCAAAGAGAATGCTGCCTTGAAGAAATTAATAGACCTACTTCCTTGAGGTTTGGGGCACTGAGGGAGACCCTTGGGGTGTCCAGGGAGGGTCAGGTGAGAAAAGATGCTGGCGTGGGTGGGAGCCCTGTGTGGGTAAGCAGCACACCAACCCTGTTTTTGCCCTCAGGTAAAACAACTACTGAAAGGCAGCCCCTGAGAAGGATGGGGCAGATCTGTGTGAACCCACTGAGATTTGGGAAGAAAACTCATGGAACAACTACAGTTAACTAAATTTCATTAAAAACAAAGATAAATACTTAAACTCATCAATTCCTAATTCTTTTACTGTATTTTATTACTATCTGTGCTCATGAGGTTATTTATTTCCATTGTCTCTGTATGGATGACATGCTATACAATGGCGGGCTCTTCTGTCTTATCCCAATTCTGCATTCAGTGAGAGCATCTTGGTAGCTTGAAATTGACCAGGATGGGCATATTTATGCCACAACAATTGACAAATGCTGCAAACCAGCCCTTGATTTATTGTTTTGCTGACTATCTAGACTAAAGAAAGTGATGGGGAAAATGTTAACAATGCAGATTAAACTTAAAAGTTTGTCATGTCTATAGTTGCTACACTATGATCAGCAGAAACATTTGAGGAAATATTCTTCCAGTATTCAAGAACCATTATCTGATTCAGCAAAGAAGTCACTCATGTCACTGACGAGCAAA